AAACTGCAAAAGAAAAATGACTTTTTATTTCATAAAACCAAGAATCTCTAAATGTATACATACATACACACACACATACATATATATATAATGCATTACCGACGTCGGACCACTTTTGTCAGTAATGAACAATCTGACGCGTTGCTATTTCAAATCCAGTCGTCAGACTTCAATTATTAAACAAAATCACTTTGTGTTACTATCTTCTTTTTGAATTTAGTTGTATTTCCTCTACACGTCTTGTCCAGTGATTGCCGTTTTTATGCAACAGTATCAGCAGCGACAGAAATGTTAACAATGGACAGAGGAGGGACATGCGCATTTTGTTGGTGTAAAACAAAATGCTTTCCAAGTCCGATTCTTATAAGCGGCTTTGGGCTTGCTTTTTTTTGTTGCTTTGTTTTTTTTAAAGTTGTTTGCAAATTTAATGAGTTGCAGGTTGCGCCTATTTGGGCTCGTTTTTAAACGTGAAGCAGAAACTCATAATAAAGACCAGACTTTGTCTGACATTCAGTTTTTGTCCATCATTTCCCGGGTGATCCGTCCCGCTGTGTCTATGTTAATGTTAAGTTAAAATATTAACTTAAAATGACTAACTTAAATTAACAAATATATATTTTATGTTCCACTATAACTTATCTTCAAATTATATAATTTTATAAAATTACAGTATTCGGTACATTTTTCAAAAGTGCCTCTTCACTTTTACAAATACAAACAGCAATGCCTATATTTAATTTAATGATAAAATTGAATTCCCTTAGTTTTAATTACAATTTTTAAGATAAACGATCTGTTTATATAAATAAGAGACAATTGCTGATTATTATATTTGGAGATAATTTTTTAATGACAGGAAAATTTCAAATTGGCATATATTTCTTTTTGGCATGTAAAATATCAAAGAAGACATTGATTTCAAATAAATTACTATTTAAATTAAGTTACATTTCTGGAATACTTTGTAATATGTGGTGTCTTCTTACTGACATACAAGACACCACACATTAATTTTTCTGACCCTTTCATCAGCCAGCAGGCTCACCTTGAGCTTGGTGTCCTGGCTGAGGATCAACTGTGCCAGGTGTGCGATGGCGCCGTTGTCCACAACGGTCTCGGCCAGCTCTGGCGTGTGTTTGCAGATGTCGCTGAGTGTGGAGGCAGTGATACGTTTGAGGGCCATCTCAGGCTCCAAGAGACTCAACACCAGCAGGGGGACCGCTCCTGCTTCCACCACTGCCTCAGACAGAGCTGCACAGTGACACGGAGAGGCCGTGGAGAAAAAGGTGAGACATTGGTAAAACTGTTTGTTTTTTTCCTGTTTAGAGTTCCTTTAAAAAATAAAAAATAAAAAAAGTGCAAATGAGTGTTTCAGAAATCTAATATAACAATAACAAATTATTGCCTCCACTGTCACAAAGCAGATGTAAATCAGAGCTTCTCTTTCTGTGCCTACATGCATTGTGTCGTGCGATGCAGCCCAGAGCCCAGGCAGCGGCCTCCTTCACCCCAGGGTCAAACTCCTCCAGGCAGAGAACCAGAGCGTCTACGCCCCCGCAGCTCACTACTGCCTGGGCCAGGTCAGGAGAGTGTTTGGCCACCGCGCGCAGAACAAACCCTGCTACTTTCTTATAAAACCTCTGCACACAAAACACAGAAAAAAGTGCACACATCAGCTGCTTAACAGAGGAGCTTCATTTCTTTTCTTTTTTTTTGAGAATCAATTTGCATTTCTTCTTCTTCTTTAAAGAAAACAAATCCTTTAACAAGTTAAGTTTACCCATAAAATTGTTTTTTTTTTTTTACTAATTCAGGAGACGGGTTCTACTTCCTTTTACCTTTTAACTTTATGCTGACATGTCATTATTTTCTAACACAGCGACTTATGCTGGGCAGAATTAATTTTGCTTAATGATGTCACTGAAATAAAAAAAAAACAATGCTTATTGTGTACATCATTTTTGCTTTCATGTGATTCATGTGATTGGATATGAAACTTAAACTAAATCTGAATGGTTTGTCTTATAGCATAGTTTGACATCACAGTTGTTGACACAGTGTAAACAGGACTGTGTGTGAAATAAAAAAAGAATGAGTCACTTTAAAAGAAATGCTGCATGTTTGAGTGATTTTTCTTCCCACTGCTGAGTCAGTTTGAGCTTAGAAGCTGAAATGTAACATTTTGGATTTAAAACATTGAGCTTCACTCGCCTTTTGAAAGCAAGAAGAAAACCTGATCTCTCTGAGTCAGCTCCTTGAGAAGACAAAGAGCTCGCTACTCTCATGGTGAAGAGTGCTGAGGTTTTCAAGTTGCCCCCAAGGCGAATTGCCCCCAAAAAAGCCCAATATGATCAAATTCAGAGGTTTTGACCCGGAACCTACAACTCCTGCAGAGTGTCAACCACAATCTGACTATGTCTTTGCTCTTTACACTCTCATGTCTTCCAAAGCTGACATCACAAAAAGAAAACCTGGTAGCACTAAGGAATGAATCCAGGAGAAGTGATGCTAACATTTTGCGAGGCCAGAGAATTGACCAGCTGGGGCAGGATGTCTTCTTTCACCACAATTTCTGCCAGACTGTTACTGTTTTCCGCCAGGTGACCCAGAGCCAGACCCGCTGTCTGCTGGATGCCCGGTACCGTGTCCAGCAGCAGAGAACGCAGCATGGGTATCACTCCTGCAGAAGAGCAGAGGACACCGTAAAAATGAATTTTTATGGGAATATTAAAACAAATGTAATTTCATTAAAGAATAGTGGCTTGTATATAAAATGTTCAGCAACAATCAAATGCAAAAAAAAAAGACTTTTCATTGCAGATTCTGTTGAAACATACTAATGCTTTGTCACTGCAAGGGAGAGGAACATATATGACATACATGTTATATGGGTGACTTGTAATATATTACAACCCTTTGAAAACAATCCCAAGTTTTCATGGGTTGTAATATGAATTAAAACATAAACATAGTAAAAATAAATATTTATTACAAGAGTTGTGATTGAGGAACAGTCTATTTCTGCAATGTTTTATGCTTTAATCAAATTTTTTAATTATTTTGTTTATTTGCTATTTGCAGTTTGATCCATTTAAATTGCCTTTACAGTGAGTTGGGGTTTAAAACATTTGATTGATTTGGTTTTCTTTTCAAAACTATTTTATTGTCAATAAAATAGAATTTGAAAAAGCTGGAGTTGAAAAAAAAAATTGGAATTTAGTTTGTTCGTTTTGGCAATTAACCTTGGTACGTAGAAGTATTCATTAGAATGTGTTTTGTTTTGTTTTGTTTTTAAATTTGCTTCCATTTTATTGGTTAAAATATAACAATTTATTTTAGGGTGCAAGATAATATTGCAATCCGTGACAGATGATAAAATTGCTATCATTCTCTTTCCTACCTGCATTATGGAGGATTTCGGAGTTTTGTGGTTTGGTCGCAAAATCAGCAATGGTTTGCACAAACTGCAACCTGGCCTTCTGGTACTGTTCAACAGCTGCAGGACACAAAATAAACAAAGAGTCAGTCTGATCACCTTCAAGCTGAACTTGCGTCAATGTGAAGTAAAAAGCAGCCACGAATCTCACCTTTAGTAATCAGTCGTTGACTCATTGTGCCAAAAAGAAAAAAAAAGACTATTTCCTAAAATGTGTATTTGCTGGAGCTAGCTGTATTGTTGTCTTGAGTTGCCGCAGCAACACGTAGGACTTGGACTCAGCCTTGTTCAGGCCAAAGATCGTTTATTAAAGAAAGAGGAGTCACTCCGGTTCAGTAAATCCCTTCAGAGTGATGCCTCTTTTTATTCTCGCGATGTTTAAGCTGAGGATGTGACCCGCATTGAATACAATTGATCGACAGAGATTTTTTTTATTATTATGGAGCAATTTATAGCTCTGTGCGCAAGTTTTTATTGCAAAAAAGTAGACACATACACACACATATATAACATTAGCTCGTATGTTAGATATCTTTGATTTGACGTAGCTGATGAGGAAGTTTTGCTGGATTCAAAGTTTGTTCTAATCCCTGTTCTGGGTTTCTCTTAGTATGCTCTAAATTTGTAAAAAAAAATAATGACTACTCCACAGTTTCTATGTAATAATGATAATAAAATAAAAAAAACTTAGTGTTGCTGTTCTGGAAGATTTTTCTTCTGGATTAAGTTCATTTTAATTCATTTTCTGGGTTGCAGTAATAAAACTTTTCTGCATAATAATCTAAAAATGAATCCAAGAAGTAGAAAACTGGTCTAAATAGTGAGTACTTTACAGTTTCTATACTGAGCACAAGATCACAGAGAGAGAGCGAGAATCAACGCTTCTGCACAAAACATGACACTCTGGACAATCATCGGTTCTCGGTTTCGAGTCCATCTGAACTCCGACGAGCGTCGCGGACTGGCGCTGCGCTGCAAGTCCAGGACCGGTTCTGAGGTCCACCTCTCCAGGCTCTTCATGTTAATGTTAAACAGGTTCCGCCTCAGAGGAGAGCAGCATCAGCATCGTCTGGACCGATGGAGGCAGAATAAGCTGCATGAAGCTTCTCTCAGCATGCTGAGGATGCTGCATGCGGCTTCAGGACGCATCATGAGGCAAACATTCAGCCTCCTACTGCTGCTGCTGCTGCTGCTGCTTCATCAACTCTGGAAACATGGAAAAGCAGAAAGTTTCTATTTGTCCTCGTCGTTTCTGCGCAGCGCCATTTGTTGTTGAACTTCCTGATGATACTTTGGCACTTTAAAGAGTTGATTCGTTGAACTTTCCACAATGATCATCTGACATAATCTGACATTTGACACTGTGGTTCTAGAAAAAATTAACTGCATTTTTAAAGTAATGCTTCGGGTGAAACATGACACTTAGTACTATTTCACTTTCTCTAGAAATTTGGCGAAATGAAATAACAGAAGAGGCACACAATTTCGGTTTCCTTATTTATTTATTTATTGAACGCTGTCGTCTGTCTGTTGTGCAAAATCATGTCTCAGGAGAAAAGCAGAATGAAGACGTGTGTTTTCTGCATAAGTGTAAAATGTTTTATTTAGATGTTTTACACAATGCAACAGTAAAACGTTGTTCATACAATTGAGCGATACAGATACAGAAAACTGTTCTAATTGTATCTTAAAGCTTACTCTGTATTATTAATAGCACTATCAAATAAATCTTTGTAAAAAAAAACACTTATATATGAAATGTACAAAAACATTCATTGCCCCTCAGGTTGAGGAGAAGGAGGAATGTGAAGTGACTCTTCCTCCTGGTTGACCTCTAACCGCTGCAACAGGATCTCAGAGTAGCCTGGTGAGTAGTACCTGCAAAAACACAAACACATCATAAACCAACTGGGTTATATTGAGTTGAATATCTTGATTCTGATGGCATTGGGTTTTTTAATAGAGTTTAGTTTGAACCAAATGGGCACACTGGTGGTGAAGTTATCAGAGCTGCACCTGACTATCTCCTCAGGGAAGCAGCTGTTGATGGTGTTGATGTGTTCCTGCAAAGCAGAGCCCGGCTCTGCATCAATCTCTTGGACTTTCTTCAGTCCACCGCTGGTCACAAACAAACGACGGGCCTTGCTGTCATGGGGAAGCACCTGTTGAGAACCAGAGAGATGGAGGTTTTATAAGCGCATGAGAGGCAAAGATTTTTGCCGGAGCGTTTGGAGATGTCCCCCCCACCTTGCTGAACTGGCAGACGACGTGTTTGAGGATGTTGCTGGGAGCGTCGTAGAGTAGCGGCTCCAGAGCCTGGATGATGGTGCACTTCTGCAGGATGTTCTTCAGCGCCTTCTTACTCTGAAACATTCAACATGTTTCCAAAAGTAAGATTCAGGCATTTTTGATATACAATTTCAAACATTTTCAGCACTTTTTTTATAGAGGTAAAAACTATAATAATTAACTAAAAGATGGTTTTAATTCACTTTTATATGACATCAGTTATAACTGTTAGTATGTGTTGTGGTAGCATTTGATATTCTATGCAATTATGTCTTGCATAAAATAATTTAGGCAATTCTGATTGCACTCCTTGGGCTGCCACCTTATCCTGGTGGACAGGTTTGAGTGTCCCAATGATCCTAGGAGCTATGCTGTCTGGGCTTCATGACCCTGGTAGGGTCACCCAATGCAGTCACCCAAGGCAGGTAGGTGAGGGACCAGACAAAGCGCAGCCTGAAGACTCCTTATGATGAACAAGAACCTTAGATTTAGTGTTCCCTCGCCCGGATACAGGTCACCTCCATTGTCAAGGTGGCTTACTGGAGCTGAGGTCGCATGGTTGTTGATGCTTGTCGCAGTGGCAACCCTAAAACCCGTTGGTGGACACCTTCAGTGAGGGATGCTGTCAGGCTGAAGAAGGAGACCTATCAGGCCTTTTTGGCCTCTGGGACTCCAGAAGCAACTGATGGGTACCAACGGGTGAAGTGGCTGGGGTGGTTGCTGAGGCAAAAACTCGGGCATAGGAGGAGTTTGGAGAGGCCATGGAAAACGATTTCCGCACGGCTTCAAGGCGATTCTGTTCCACCATCCAGTGTCTCAGGAGGGAGAAGCAGTACAACACCAACACTGTTTAGAGTGGGCATGGTGTGCTGCTGACCTCAACTCAAGACGCTGTGGGCTGGTGGGCAGAATACTTCAAAGACCTCCTCAATCCCACCAACATATCTTCCATTGAGGAAGCAAAGCCTGGAGACTATGAGTTGGGCTTTCCAATGTCTGGGGACGAGGTCACCAAGATGATTAAAACGCTCGTAAGTGGAAGGGTCCCGGGGGTGGATGACATTCACCTGGAGTTCCTTCAGGCTCCGGATGTTGTAGGGTGTGTTGGCTGACGCGACTCTGCAACAACGCATGGACATCGGGGGCAGTTCCCTTGGATTGGCAGACTGGGGTGGTGGTCCCCCTGTTCAAAAAGGGTGACCGGATGGTGTGCTCCAATTATACGGGGGTCACACTCTTGAGCCTCTCTGGCAAGGTCTATTCAGGGGTCGTGGAAAGAAAGGTCCGTTGGATAGTCGAACCTCGGATTCAGGAAGAGCAGTGTGGTTTTCATTCTGGTTGTGGAACACTGGAGCAGCTCTACACCCTCAGCAGGATCCTTGGAGTAGGCGTTCGACCATGTTCCTCAGGGAGCCCTGTGGAGGGTTCTCTGGGAGTATGGGGTACCCGGCCCTTTGATACGGGCTGTCAGGTCCCTGTATGAAGTCTGGTCCGCATTGCCAGCAGTAAGTTGGGCTCGTTTCTGGTGAGAGTTGGACTCCGCCAGCGCTGCCCTTTCTCATCGATTCTGTTCATTACTTTCATGGACAGAATTTCTAGGCTCAGCAAAGGTGTTGAGGGGATCCGTTTTGGTGGCCTTAGGTTTGCATCTCTGCTTTTTGCAGATGATGTAGTCCAGGACACGATATGCAGCTCTCACTGGAGCGGTTCTCAGCCGAGGGTGAAGCAGCTGGGATGAGGATCAGTGCCTCCAATTCCGAAGCCAAGGTCATGAGCCGGAAAAGATTAGAGTGCCTTCTCGAGGTAGGGGAGAGTTCTGTTCCAAGTGGAGGAGTTCAAGTATCGCAGGACCTATACAAAACCTGTTTAATTTGACTGAATCACAATTGGAATATGATGCGCCAAAAGAAATCTGAAATATCACATTACTGCACGAGTTCGTTCTGAATCGATGTCCAGAACAATTGTTGCTCTTCCAACCTTGGCCTGCAGGTCCTCTGAGCTGCCGGGGTTCATGTAGAGCTCCAACAGCCTGGGCAGCAGGTTTGCTGCAGCCACAATCCTGGCATGCTCAGAGGTGTGATGACCTATCTGGTCTATTGCCCACACTGTGGCTGACTTGATGTGATGCTCATGCTCCTCTGAGAGGCACAGGGCCAGCTGGGGCACCCCCTGCAGGACAGGAAGGCTCACATCAGGAAGAGTCCAGCAAAGTAATGATTGCGATCTCAAAGAAAAATATTCATAAAATCCACTTTATCTAAAGCTTACAACTTAGGGATGCAAAAAATTTACCTACTTACAATAGACTGCTAATTAATGCTTTAGTAGGCTAAAATTAGTTCTAATAGATTAAGTAACAATGTCCGTTTACACATTTTAGTAATGAAAATAAAAACAATCGAAAGTTCTTAACTGTTGTTAAGTGGTCACGAAAAATAAATTGAAGATGACGATCCCACCTTACAGCGAATGACGGCCATGGCGAGGGTTTCATTGTGAGCCGCCACGTATCCCAGCATCATGATGCCCGGGAGGCGCAGCTGTCCATGGCTCTCTCCCAGGTAGTCGATCATCGTTGACATCCCACCGCAGTTCACGATCAGCTGGGACATCTGCAAAAAAACACACAAACACCCACACACACACTTCATTCAGTGTGTCCGCTTTCTTGGTGACCTCGAAACATGAGCATGCTGTACCTCTGGCGTTTGTTTCGCCACCTCCCTCATCAAAGTTGCAACGTTTTTCCTGACGTAAATATCCGGATCTTTGAGGGAGACGAAGGCAGCGGGAAAGACCTCGGCCTCGATCACCATCTCAGCCAGCCTGATGGAGTGTTTGCTGATTTGGCTGAGGGCGGAGAACACCTGCCTCTGAATGGAGACAACCAAACCCCAGAGAAGCTTCACAGAAAACTGGCAGTTTTGAAGCTCAGACATGTTTCTTTCTGGAAAACGGCGCCACATACATTCAAACGTTTGTGTTTTAACGTGAAGATCATGCTGCGTTGAAACATTAAACTTTTTTTTTTCTGGAAACCTGTAAAGGTTACTCTGAATTTGCTTAAAATGATTAAGACTAAAAACTGAATGCCCCAAAAACAGATCCATAATAAATGTTTGTATTATTTTTTTAATCACATTTTGAAATTTTATAGATTTTTTGATTGTACCAAACTGTAAAGAAAAAAAACTTTTTTACATCATAAAACTAAGAATCTCTAAACATATACATGCATACACACACACACACCCACACACACATATATATGTATCAAATTAAAATATATAAAACATATATATTTTATGTTCAACTGTAACTTGTCTTTAAATTGTGTAATTATATGATTATATTAAATTATAACAGTATATTTTTCAAAAGTGCCTCTTCACTTTTACAAATACAAACATCAATGTTTATATTTAATTTGATGATAAAATTGAATTCACTTAGTTTAAATACGATTTTTAAGATAAGTTATATGTTTTTATAAATAAGAGACAATTGCTGATTATTAAATCTTGAGACATTTTTTTAATGACAGAACATTTTCAAATTGGCATATATTTCGTTTTGGCTCAGAAAATATCAAACAAGACATCGATTTCAAACACATTACTATTTAAATTAAGCTGCATATTTAGAATAGTTTTTAATATTTGATGTCTTTTTACTAAGATACGGTTTCTCAGAGTTTCTGACCCTTTCATCAGCCAGCAGGCTCACCTTGAGCTTGGCGTCCTGGCTGAGGATCAACTGGGCCAGGTGTGCGATGGCGCCGTTGTTCACCACGATCTCAGCCAGCTCTGGCGTGTGTTTGCAGATCTCGCTGAGTGTGGAGGCCACAACGCGTTTGAGGGCCATCTCAGGCTCCAAGAGACTCAACACCAGCAGGGGGACCGCTCCTGCTTCCACCACAGCCTCAGACAGAGCTACACAGTGACACGGAGAGGCCGTGGAGAAAAAGGCAAGACATTGGTAAAACTGTTTGTTTTTTTCCTGTTTAGAGTTCCTTTAAAAAATAAAAAAAACAGTGCAAATGAGTGTTTCAGAAATCTAATATAACAATAACAAATTATTGCCTCCACTGTCACAAAGCAGATGTAAATCAGAGCTTCTCTTTCTGTGCCTACATGCATTGTGTCGTGCGATGCAGCCCAGAGCCCAGGCGGCGGCCTCCTTCACCCCAGGGTCAAACTCCTCCAGGCAGAGAACCAGAGCGTCGACGCCCCCGCAGCTCACTACTGCCTGGGCCAGGTCAGGAGAGTGTTTGGCCACCGCGCGCAGAACAAACGCTGCTGCCTTCTTATAAAACCTCTGCATACAAAACACAGGAAAAAAGTGCACACATCAGCTGTTCAAGCCAACGTTTTCTAGTGCCCATCAATGGTACTGCATGTTCAAGATTTTTTTTTTCTTTAAGGGAAAAATAATATATTTTGTTTTTTTACATGATTTGTTTAACTTGCTTAACAAACAATCAAAATGCCCAACATCATCAAATTCAGAGGTTTTGACTCAGCCCTACAACTCCTACAGAGTGTCTGTCATCCAGAATTTGACAATGTCGTTGCTCTTTACTCTCATGCAAGGAATGAATCCAGGAGAAGTGATGCTAACGTTTTGCGAGGCCAGAGAGTTGACCAGCTGGGGCAGGATGTCTTCTGTCACCACAGCTTCTGCCAGACTGTCATTGTTGTCCGCCAGGTGACCCAGAGCCATAGCTGCCGTCTGCTGGATGCTCGGGACCGTGTCCAGAATAAGGGACCGGAGAATGGGCATAACTCCTGCAGAAGAGCAGAGGACACTGTAAAAATTTATTTTTATGAAAATATTAAAACAATTTTTATGCTAAAGCTTTGTCACTAAAATGGTAGGGGAACACATTATATAACATATATGTTATCTGGGTGACTTATAATGCAACCCATGTTTTCATTGGTTGTAATATGAATTAAAACATAAACACAGTAAAAATAAATATTTATTACAAGAGTTGTGATTGAGGAACTGAACTTCTGGAACAAGAATTTCAATTTGTCTGCAGTTTCTGGAAGTTTAGCAACAGTGCTAATGCTAATATAAAACTTAAGCTGAGCCAGGCTGAGGAAGACATTCAGATCTGATTGGCAGGAAAAGTATTTATTTACCACCTTGTTAAAACAGATCTCAAAAGTTTATCACATTCTATTTCTGCAATGTTTTCTGCTTTAATCACTTTTTGTTTGTTTGTTTTTGCAGTTTGATCCATTTAAATTGCCTTTACAGTGAGTTGGGGTTTTAAACATTTGATTATTTTATTGACACCAAAGGAAAATTAAATAAAATCAGTTTTGAATTTGTATAAGCTAGAGTTTAAAAAAAAAGAGATACATTTATTTTATTCGTTTGAGTAGTTAAACGTGGATACGTAGAAATATTCATTAGAATCTTTTGCGATACATGGCATAGATTTTGTTTTCTTCTTCCATTTTATTGGTTAAAATATAACAATTTATTTTATGGGTGCAAGATAACATTGCAATCCGTGACAGATAATAATATTGCTATCTTTCCTACCTGCATGATGGAGGATTTCGGAGTTTTGTGGTTTGGTCGCAAAATCAGCAACTGTTTGCACAAACTGCAACCTGGACTTCTGGTACTGTTCAAAAACTGAATAGCACAAAATAAACAAGGAGTCAGTCTGATCACCTTCAAGCTGAACTTGCGTCAATGTGAAGTAAAAAGCAGCCACGAATCTCACCTTTAGTAATCAGTCGTTGACTCATTGTGCCAAAAAGAAAAAAAAGACTATTTCCTAAAATGTGTATTTGCTGGAGCTAGCTGTATTGTTGTCTTGAGTTGCCGCAGCAACACGTAGGACGTGGAATCAGCCTTGTTCAGGCCAAAGATCGTTTATTAAAAAAAGAGGAGTCACTCCGGTTCAGTAAATCCCTTCAGAGTGATGCCTCGTTTCATTCCCGCGATGTTTAAGCTGAGGATGTGACCCGCATTGAACACAATTGATCGACAGATATTTTTTTTTATTTTTTTATTATGGAACAATTTGTAGTTCTGTGCGCAAGTTTTTATTGCAAATAGGTCAAGTGTAGCAATTTTAGTCAAGCCCATGTTATTTATTTATTATTGCTTACCTATTTCATGGATATTTTTTAGGCACAAATATGCAGCGTAATATTTAAAAAATGACGCTGCATTTTATTTATTTATTTATTTATTTATTTATTTATTTATTTATTGAGCGCTCAGCTCTGAGCATGAGGTCTAGCTCATGTCTCCCTCTACATTTTGATAAATATCCATATAAATTACAAACTCAGAATCTCCTTCCTTCTTGCTTTGCAGCAAGAAGGAAGGATTATTATTATTATTATTATTATTATTATTATTATTATTATTATTATTATTATTATTATTATTATTATTATTATTATTATTGTTGTTGTTGTTGTTGTTGTTGTTGTTGTTGTTATTACTAGTATTATTATATATTAAAACAATATATTGCAACTGCCACAAGCTTAATTGTGGAAACATGTTCTGAAATTCAACATTTAAAAATTATCTTATATTCCAACAGAACTTTTGTCATCATAAAAACACATTGTGTTCGTCTGGTCCTGCCGTGATGGCGCAGGGGAAGCGCGACCCACATTTGGAGGCCTGTAGTCCTCGAGCTGGACTCTGTAACTAAAAATCTGACCTCTTTGTCAATCTAAGGTTGCCTATACAACACATTTCCTGGTGCACTTTTCGAGGACTTGGAATTTTTCTAACGTGAATCTATTTGTAACATAAATAAATAAGGAAACCTTACCTGAAATTGTGTCTCTCCTGTTATTTCATTTCGCCAAATTTCTAGAGAAAGTGAAATAGTACTAAGTGTCATGTTTTACCCGAAGCATTATTTTAAAAATGCAGTTAACAATTTTTTCTAGAACCACGGTGACAAATGTCAGATGATCATTGTGGAAAGTTCAACGAATCAACTCTTTAAAGTGCCAAAGTATCATCAGGAAGTTCAACAACAAATGGCGCTGCGCAGAAACGACGAGGACAAATAGAAACTTTCTGCTTTTCTCCATGTTTCCAGAGTTGATGAAGCAGCAGCAGCAGCAGCAGCAGCAGCAGGAGGCTGAATGTTTGCCTCATGATGCGTCCTGAAGCCGCATGCAGCATCCTCAGCATGCTGAGAGAAGCTTCATGCAGCTTATTCTGCCTCCATCGGTCCAGACGATGCTGATGCTGCTCTCCTCTGAGGCGGAACCTGTTTAACATTAACATGAAGAGCCTGGAGAGGTGGACCTCAGACCGAACCGGTCCTGGGACTTGCAGCGCAGCGCCAGTCCGCGACGCTCGTCGGAGTTCAGATGGACTCGGAACCGAGAACCGATGATTGTCCAGAGTGTCATGTTTTGTTCAGAAGCGTTGATTCTCGCTCTCTCTCTGTGATCTTGTGCTCAGTATAGAAACTGTAAAGTACTCACTATTTAGACCAGTTTTCTACTTTGATTCATTTTTAGATTATTATGCAGGGAGAGGCCTATTACTGAAACCCAGAAAATAAATTAGAACGAACTTAGAATCCAGAAAAAAAAATTTCCAGGACAGCAACAGTAAGTTTTTTATATTATTATTATTATTATTATTATTATTATTATTATTATTATTATTATTATTATTATTATTATTATTATATAGTGTTTAATTTATATGCCTGACTGCACTGCAGCGCAGTAGCATGGGCTTGACTGGAGAGATGAGAGCTGTGGAGGAAAACAGAGCAGACAGACGGGCCAGAATCATGACAGGAATAGACTTCAGAGATCTCTGCAACAAATGGGCTCATGTTTGTGCAAATTTGAGCATAATTGCTCCACATTTCTTTTATACGTTACCGTTTACATCTATATTGTTTATTTTGTATTAATAAACAGGATTATTTTATTTGAAAAGTTTAACTAAACGTTCATTCACTCTTAGCTCCTCCAAAGCCAAAATAAAACCAATACGTTCCGCAGTAATGTATCGGAACCAAACTTGTAATAATAATTTTTCGTATTTGATTCTATAGTATTTTAATAAATGTTTTTGTCTGTCGTGCAAAGGCATGTCTCAGGAGAAAAGCAGAATGAAGACGTGTGTTTTCTGCATAAGTGTAAAATGTTTTATTTAGATGTTTTACACAATGCAACAGTAAAACGTTGTTCATACAATTGAGCGATACAGATACAGAAACTGTTCTAATTGTATCTTAAAGCTTACTCTGTATTATTAATAGCACTATCAAATAAATCTTTGTGAAAAAAAAACACATATATGAAATGTACAAAAACATTCATTGCCCCTCAGGTTGAGGAGAAGGAGGAATGTGAAGTGACTCTTCCTCCTGGTTGCGCTCTAACCGCTGCAACAATTCCTCACAGTAGCCTGGTGAGTAGTACCTGCAAAAACACAAACACATCATAAACCAACTGGGTTATATTGAGTTGAATATCCTAATTCTGATGGCATTGGGTTTTTTTTAACGGAGTTTAGTTTAAACCAAATGGGCACACTGGTGGTGAAGTTATCAGAGCTGCACCTGACTATCTCCTCAGGGAAGCAGTTGTTGATGGTGTTGATGTGTTCCTGCAAAGCAGAGCCCGGCTCTTTGTCAATCTCTTGGACTTTCTTCATTCCACCGCTGGTCACAAACAAACGACGGGCCTTGCTGTCATGGGGAAGCACCTGTTGAGAACCAGAGAGATGGAGGTTTTATAAGCGCATGAGAGGCAAAGATTTTTGCCGGGGCGTTTGGAGATGTCCCCCCCACCTTGCTGAACTGGCAGACGACGTGTTTGAGGATGTTGCTGGGAGCGTCGTAGAGTAGCGGCTCCAGAGCCTGGATGAGGGTGCACTTCTGCAGGATGTTCTTCAGCGCCTTCTTACTCTGAAACATTCAACATGTTTCCAACAGTAAGATTCAGGCATTTTCGATATACAATTTCAAACATTTTCAGCACTTTTTTTTTATAGAGGTAAAAACTATAATAATTAACTAAAAGATGGTTTTAATTCACTTTTATATGACATCAGTTATAACTGTTAGTATGTTTTGTGGTAGCATTTGATATTCTACAGCAGTGGCAAAGTAATGTTAAATATAAAAATTATGTCTTGCATAAAATAATTTAGGCAATTCTGATTGCTTCGAAACAAGAGAAACTTAGCCTGATTTAACTTCAGACAGCGAGAAAAAAAATGTCTGTTTTTTTATTAGGTGCATGAAAATATACATGTACCTAAATATCTGGTTTTGACTGTAAAAAAGGTCTTAAAATTTAGGCTTTTAATCAAAGGTCAGATTGCACTTTATTACAAAACTGTGCAGCTTGAACATCAACTCTTTCAAGAACTTTTATGCTCACTTAAAATTTTTAAAACACCTAATTGAAATTCAAGCATTCTTAAGCACCTATACAAACTCTGTATAATTTGACTTTATCCTGATTATAATATCTCATTACTTCATGTGTTTATTGGTGTCCAGAACAATTGTTGCACTTCCTACCTTGGCCTTCAGGTCCTCTGAGCTCCTGGCGTCCATGTAGAACGCCAGCAGCTTGGGCAGAAGGTTTTCTGCAGCCACCACCTTGGCATGCTCAGAGGTGTGATGACCTATCTGGTCTATTGCCCACACTATGGCCGACTTGATGTGCTGCTCATGCTCCTCTGAGAGGCACAGGGCCAGCTGGGGCACCCCCTGCAGGACAGGAAGGCTCACATCAGGAAGTGTCCAGCGAACTAATGATTACGATCTCATAGAAAAATATTCATAGTACCCTCTAAAAGTCCACTTTTTGTAAAGTTTACAACTTGGGGATGCAAAAAGTTTACCTACTTACAATAAACTGTTGATTATTGGTGCAGTAGACTAAAATTTGTTCTAATAGATTAAGTAACATTGTAAATAAACTTCAGATCAACCCATTAATCAATAACTTGCACCTTTTTGCAACTACAAACCTCAGTTTATTTTATTTGAATTTTGAATGCTGAATAAAAATGCATGCCACATTTTTCATATATTTAATAATGAAAATAAAAATTATTGAAAGTTCAGAAGTGCTGTTATGTGGTCACAAAAAATAAATTGAGGTTGACGATCCCACCTTACAGCGAATGACGGCCATGGCGAGGGTTTCATTGTGAGCAGCCACATATCCCAGGATCATGATGCCCGGGAGCCGCAACTGTCCACGGGTCTCTCCTAGGTAGTCGATGACCTTTGACAGCCCACCGCTTTTCACGATCATCAGGGACAGCTGCAGAAAGACACACACACAAACACTTCATTCAGTGCGTCTGCTTTCTTGGTGACCTCGAAACATGAGCAAGCTGTACCTCTGGCGTTTGTTTTGCCACCTCCCTCATCAGGCTTGCAACATTCTTCCTGACGTAATCATCCGGATCTTTGAGGGAGACGTAGGCGGCGGGGAAGATGTCGGCCATGATCACCGTCTCGGCCAGGAAGACGGACTGTTTGCTGATTTGGCTGAGGGCGGAGAACACCTGCCTCTGAATGGAGACAACCAAACCCCAGAGAAGCTTCACAGATAACTGGCAGTTTTGAAGCTCAGACATGTTTCTTTCAGGAAAACGGCGCCACATACATTCAAACGTTTGTGTTTTAACGTGAAGATCATGCTGCGTTGAAACATTAGACTTTTTTCAATCAGTTTTTTTTTTCTGCAAAGCTGTAAAGGTTACTCTGAAATCCCCAAGACAGATCCATAATAAATGTTTGTATTTTTTTTATCACATATT